TCTCCTGGCCGAGCCGCCCCAGCAGCCGAACCGCCCGTGAGCCGAGCCGCCCGACGCCGAGCCGCCCGGGACCCGAGCCGCCCAGCCGCCGAGCCGCCCGGGAGCCGAGCCGCCCTGCGCCCGAGCCGCCCAGCAGCCGAGCCGCCCTGCACTCGAGCCGCCAGGTCGCTGAGCCGCCTTTCTGCATACCTACACGACCTGCCCTGCCTGGTGAGCACAGTCCCACTGACACTGCGAGCTCTTTCCCTACTGCTTGCACTGCGTCGCTGTCGTCGCTATGGCTACCCCTAGTGTCCTAGCTTTTGACGCTGGAGGGTCGCGCCATTGATTTTGAGGTCTGGTTAGACGACCTGCAGCTGTTCTTACAGTGCGACAGGGCTGACGACCTTTCTCTCTTTGATCTCACCTCTGGCGCCTCTCCTGCTCCTGCTGCTGATGCTGATCCCGCTGTCCCGCTCTAAGTGGGCCACCCGCGATGCTGCTGCACGTCTTGCTGTGCGTCGCCACCCTCCCTACCTCTGAGCGTGCGCACTTCAGTCAGTACAAGAGTGCTCAGACCTTGTACGACGCTGTAGTTGCGCGCTAACTCCTCCCCTGCCACTGCTGCACTGAGCCGTCTCATGCTTCCCTACCTCTTTCCTGACCTCTCTGCCTTTCCCACTGTCGCTGACCTCATTACGCACCTCCGCACTAGTGACACTCGCTACCGCGCCGCCCTTCCTGCTGAGTTCTGCGCTAAGAACCCCCCCCCCATGTACATCGCTCTCTACTACGTAGTCGCGCGCCTCCCTGACTCCCTTCGAGTCGTCAGGGACCACTTTCTCGCAGTCTGTCCCACCACCCTCACCGTCGACCTCCTCGAGAAGGCCCTCCTCGCAGCGGAGAAGAGCATAGTCGCTGTAGGTGCTTCTCGTGGTGACCCCTCGCACCCCCATCTTTGAGGGGTGCTCTCCTTCCCCCTTGCTGCCCTCTGTTGCCTCTGCTGCTGCTGCCGACCTGCTTGGTCTTGAGTCGGTCGGCGCGGCGTCTGCCCCTAGTGGGAGACGTCGCTCCAGCAAGGGCAAGGGGGGCAAGGGCGCGGGTGGAGCTGGAGGGGGCGGTGGCTGGTGGCGGCGGTGGCGGCGGAGGGAGTGGGGGGTGGCGGCGGGACTAGTGGCGGGGGTGGTGGTGGTGGTGGTGGCAGCGGTGGCGGAGACGGTGGTGGTGGTGCCAGCGGTGGTGGTGGAGGCAGCGGCGGAGGTGGAGGCGGCGGAGGTGGAGGCGTTGGAGGCGGCAGCGGAGGAGGCCAGTGGTGGTGGAGGAGGTGGAGCTGGTCGGGGTGGTACCCAGCAGCGTAGCGGCGGTGGTGGTGGCCAGCGCTCGCAGCGGCAGCAGCAGCAGCGCTCGCGGGACATCCCTTCGCCTCAGCAGCTTCGTGAGTGGTACGCTGGGCGTCAGAGGGGTGGGGGTACTGGTCCCTGCACCTACGTTCTTCGTTCCGGCGACCGCGCGGGTGAGCAGTGTGGGGGTGCCCACGCCACCCAGCGCTGCTTTGGCCGCCTGACGGACGCCTGGCGTCAGCAGTTCCCTGGGCTAGTGAGATCCCTCGCTGGGATGAGCTTCTCAGGGCTGGTGTAGCGATCTTTGATCTTGATTTTGATGCTATCCTTACTGCTATGTATGTTGTGGATTATAGTGAGGAGAATGAGGGTTACCGTTGTTTCCAGCCCGACCCGGGCATTGGTACTGCTGCGCTAGGTGCTTGTGAGGCTGCTGCTCTAGGTGCCAGTGCGTCTGCGCTCTCAGGTACTGGTGAGACTGCGCTCTCAGGTACTGCGTCGTCCTCGTCCTCCCTCACTTTCACACTTGACTCCGGGGCTTCTCGCTCCTTCTTTCGAGACCGCACTACCCTTACGCCGCTCGGCCGGCCGGTTGCAGTCTCCCTTGCTGACCCCTCTGGGGGTCCTGTCCTGTCTCACTTCTCCACTGTCCTCCCGTGTCCGGCTGCCCCTTCGGGCACCCTGTCGGGTCTGTACCTTCCCTCGTTCTCTACGAACTTGGTGAGTGGAGCGGACCTGCAGGATGTGGGTGTTCACCAGTTCACTCCTGCGAGTCAGCGGGTGACCCACGTTCTCGCGTCGGCCGGGGTCGAGTCTCTACACCCTGACCGTTGAGTCTCCTCCTGTCCCTGCGTCTGGTCAGGTGGCTGCGTCGGGTCAGGTACTTGCTGCTGCGTCCCGGTCAGGTCCTGAGTCTGCCCCCTGTTCTTGTCGCCTCCTGTCTCACGAGACTCTCCTGTGGCACCACCGTCTTGGCCACCCCTCCTTGCCCCGTCTTCGGAGCATGGCTTCCCGTGTCCTTGTCTCTGGTCTTCCCCAGTCTCTCCCTCCTCTCCCCTCCGGGCCAGGACCTTCCTGTGTCCCCTGTGTCGAGGGTCGCCCCGGGCTACTCCTCACTCCTCCCACTTCCCCCCGATAGAGGCTCCCCTGCAGACGCTTCACATGGATGTGTGGGGCCCAGCCCCCGTCCGTGGGCAGGGTCACGAGCGCTACTTCCTGTTGGTGGTTGACGACTACTCGCGTTACACCACAGTCCCTCCCCTTGCGCAGCAAGGGTGCGGTCACTGAGGTGCTGATCGACTGGATCCGCGAGGCTCGTCTCCAGCTCAGGAAGAGCTTCGGCTCGGACTTTTCTGTTCTGCGTCAACACTCGGACAGAGGCGGAGAGTTCTCTTCTCGCGTTCTGCGGGACTACTGTCGTGCACGGGGGATTCGCCAGACCTTCACGCTTCCGGACTCACCACAGCAAAATGGGATTGCTGAGCGCCGCATTGGCATGGTCATGGATGTCGCTCGTACGTCCATGATGCATGCGGCTGCCCCCCATTTTCTGTGGCCGTTTGCGGTGAGGTACGCGGCGCATCAGCTCAACCTTCACCCCCGGGTCTCTTCGGCCTGCGATGTCCCCAGCCTTGCTGTGGACGGGGAAGGTGGGCGATGCGTCTGTGTTCCGTGTCTGGGGATCTCGGGCGTTTGTCCGCGACTTGTCTGCGGACAAGCTGTCCCCTCGTGCTGCTCCCTGTGTCTTCCTTGGCTTCCCCACTGACGCCCAGGGTGGCAGTTTTACCACCCCTCCTCTCGTCGTGTTCTGTCCTCCCAGGACGTCACGTTCGACGAGTCAGTCCCCTTCTACCGTCTCTTCCCCTACCGCACTCCTTCCCTCCCCCCTCCCCCGGACTTCCTTGTGCTGGTTCCCCCCCGGTAGACCCCCTCCCCCCTCAGGTTCCTGCCCCCTCAGGTGTGTCCCGGGTAGACGCCGTTGACCCGGTCGAGGTTACTGGTGACTCTGGTGCTGCTGCGGGTGCTGAGCCTGGGGGTGCTCACTCTGGGGGTGCTGTGCGTGGGGGTGCTGAGCCTGGGGGTGCTACTGCTGGGGGTGCTGGGCCTGAGGGTACTACTGCGGAGGGTGCGGAGCCTGGGGGTGCTGAGCCGGGGGGTGCTGTGCCTGGAGGTGCTGGGTCTGGGGGTGCTGGGTCGGGAGCTGCTGAGCCTGGGGGTGCTGAGCTGGGAGCTGCTGGGCCTGGGGGTGCTGCGTCTGGAGCTGCTGAGCCTGGGTTTCTCCTGCTGCTGCGTCTTGCCGGGAGCCCCTCTCTCCGCAGGAGCTGCGCGAGTGGTTCGCTCGCCGCTAGAGGCGTGCTGCTGAGTCTGGAGGTGCTGCTGGAGCTGGAGCTTCTTCGACCGTCGAGGGTGCGGGTGCTGCCGGTCCCGGAGCTGCTGGACCTGCGGGTCCTCCCGGAGCTGGAGCTGCTGCGGGCGCTGGTGCTGAGCCTACTTCTGTTGGTCCTGCCGCTGGAGGTGTGGGTGGCGCTGGTGCTGTCGCTGAGGGTGCTGGTGCTGTCCCTGCTGCGTCTGGAGCTGCCGCGCGGCCTCGGCCGTACTTTGTTCCGCTCCTGCAGCAGGGTTCTTGGTCTTTCTCCTCCAGTAGAGGGTCCACCGCCTGTCCAGTCGCAGTCCGTGCTGGAGCCTTCCTCTCCACTGCCTGCTCCCTCTCCTTACACTGGTCCTACTGGAGGTCTTGCTGAGCGTCGTGAGCCTGCGTCTCGTCCCGTGACGCCTGTTCGCACTGCTCGCGCTAGTGGTCGCAGTTCTCGTCAGCGTCCTCCTCCTGTCCCTGGCACGCACCGGATGTCTTTGCGTCCGTCCACTGCTCCTCTGCGTGCCCCTTTGCCTTCTCCTCTTGAGTCTTCTCTTCCTGCGCTTGCCGACCCTGGGTCGGACTCTCTTCGTGCTGCCAGTCCTACTGTCACGCGTCTGCTCGCTACTGTCGTCACTGACCCCTCTTTTGAGTCCACTGCTGCGTCTGCTCTAGTCGCTGAGCTCGTTGACTTTGCTGCTCGCTGTCGTCTCGACTACGCTGCTGGTCTTGTTGCAGAGTCTGCGTCTGTCTGTCCTCCGTCCGTCGGGGGTGACTGTGCTCTTGGCACGGACGTCCTAGAGGACAGGCAGGAGGAGTTACAGTGTCTAGCGACTGCTTCACCTCATCTCGCGTCTGTACTGCTTGCCCCTGAGGGAGACCCGGATGCACTTGACATCCCGACTCCGCGTTCTTACGCGGAGGCCGTAGAGGGTCCCTACTCCTCTCAGTGGCAGGCAGCTATGGATGCAGAGATGGCTTCCTGGAAGTCCACAGGCACCTACGTTGACGCGGTTCCCCCTCCTGGGGCGAACATCGTCAGTGGCATGTGGATCTTCAGGGTGAAGCGGCCGCCGGGCTCTCCACCTGTCTTCAAGGCACGGTACGTTGCTCGTGGCTTCAGTCAGCGGCAGGGAGTTGACTACTTTCAGACCTTCTCTCCCACCCCGAAGATGACTACTCTTCGGGTGCTGCTGCACATAGCCGCTCAGCGCGACTACGAGCTTCACTCTCTCGACTTCAGCACTGCGTTCTTGCAGGGTAGCCTGCACGAGGAGATCTGGCTTCGCCGTCCACCTGGCTTCACTGGGACTTTCCCTCCTGGCACCCAGTGGAGCCTCCGACGGCCAGTCTACGGTCTCCGCCAGGCACCGCGTGAGTGGCACGACACACTGAGGACTACGCTTGCGGCTCTTGGGTTTGCTCCTTCTACTGCTGACCCGTCGCTGTTTCTTCGCACCGACACTTCCCTGCCGCCGTTCTACATCCTCGTGTACGTCGACGACTTGGTCTTTGCCACAGCGGACACTGCTGGACTCGCCTACGTGAAGTCCGAGCTGCTGAAGAGACACACGTGCACAGACCTGGGTGAACTGCGCAGCTACCTTGGCTTGCAGATCACTCGGGACAGAGCACGCCGCACCATTACCTTGACTCAGTCACACATGGTGCAGCAGGTCCTTCAGCGCTTCGGCTTCACGTACTCCTCGCCTCAGGCCACTCCTCTGCCTACTCGCCACTCACTCTCAGCTTCGCCTTCGGATGAGTCCGTAGATTCGAGTGGTCCGTATGCAGAGCTTGTTGGCTGCCTCATGTACCTGATGACCTGCACACGACCTGACCTTGCATACCCTCTGAGCATTCTTGCTCGCTATGTTGCTCCTGGGAGACACAGACCAGAGCACATGGCTGCAGCGAAGAGGGTATTGCGCTACCTGTGCAGCACGTCGGGCATGGGGCTAGTGCTTGGAGGGCGGAGTCCAGTGGTCCTTACCGGCCACGCGGACGCTTCTTGGGCTGACGACCAGGCTACGCAGCGGTCGTCACAGGGTTACACCTTCAGCCTTGGTTCCGGCTCTGTCTCGTGGCGGTCTACTCGCTCGTCTTCGGTTCTCGGCTCCAGTTGTGAGGCTGAGATCTACGCCGGGGCCATGGCTGCACAGGAGCTTCGCTGGCTCACCTACCTGCTGACTGACCTTGGAGAGCCGCCTCGTTCTCCTCCAGTGCTGTATGTAGACAACAAGGCCATGCTGGCCTTGTGTCGAGAGCAGCGCTTGGAGCACATAATGAAGCACATTGCTCTCCGCTACTTCCTTGCTCGTGAGCTGCAGCAGCGTGGTCAGTTGCGACTTGCGTACGTGGCCTCTGAGGCCAACACTGCTGATGTGTTCACCAAGGCACTCGCGCCTTGTGACCATCAGCGCTTTTGCACCCAGCTGGGTCTTGTGCCTGTCTTGCCTCACTTGCTCTCCTCTTGACTTCACTTGTACTGTGACATATATATATACCTGCTCTTTCTTGTCTAGTTCTATATATATATGTCTGTACTCCTGCATGTGAACTGGCCTCTGGCCCTGCTCTTGTGCTCGGACTGTGTGGTGACGTTGTGATCCACCCTGCGCTTGCTCTGCTTTGCTTTACCTGACTGGTCTTGTGACCCCTTGTTCTCCCCCACTTTGCCTATGGGGGTGTGTCAGATTTATATGACATAGTTTCTGTAGGCTATAGTGGGGTAGCACATATGGGGTACAGGGTTTCTAGGGTTGTATTTGTACCCAATCTTCCATAGTCATTTCCATTCCTGTTTTCCTTGCTTCACAACTAACGCACATGTGTAGTGAAAATGGTGCATCGGCCAGTCTGGCCGGCATTTCGCACTTATAGTGCAAGTAGGGCCAAGGAGAACGGAAACGCTCATTTCTCAAAAAGTAAAGGGAATCTAGCGGTCTCACTCGATCAAAAGGTGGAAAATATATAAATCTAGTGAGCTAATAAGGTTCGGAAGGAATCTAATGCATATGTATATGGAAAGTGGTGCATTGGCCAGGTCGGTCAGTATGGGAACTTAGAGTGCAAATACCTGGGAGAACGGAACCGCTCAGATCTCGCATAATACACGGAATCTAGTGGTCTCACTCAAATATAAGGTAGGAAATATATTCATCTAGTGAACGTAAGGGTTTGAAAGGTAACTAACGCACATGTGTAGAGAAAATGGTGCATCGGCCAGTCTGGCCGGCATTTCGCACTCATAGTGCAGGTGGGGCCACGGAGAACGGAAACGCTCGTTTCTCAAAAAGTAGAGAGAATCTAACGGTCTCACTCGATCAGAAGGTGGGAAATATATAAATCTAGTCAGCTAAAAAGGTTTGAAATGTATTCAACGCACATGTAGAGAGAAAATGGTGCATTGGCCAGGTCGGTCAGTATCGGAACTTAAAATGCAAATGCCAGGGAGAACGGAAGCGCTCAGATCTCGCATAGTACACGGAATCAAGTGGTCTCACTCAAATAGAAAGTAGGAAATATATACATCTAGTGAACGTAAGGGTTTGAAAGGTAACTAACGCTTATGTGTATAGAAAATTGTGCATCGGCCAGTCTGGCCGGCATTTCGCATTAATAGTGCAAGTAGGGCCAAGGAAAACAACAACACTCATTTCTCAAAAAGTAAAGGGAATCTAGCGGTCTCACTCGATCAGAAGGTGGGAAATATATAAATCTAGTGAGCTAATAAGGTTCGGAAGGAATCTAATGCATATGTATGTGGAAAGTGGTGCATTGGCCAGGTCGGTCAGTATGGGAACTTAGAGTGCAAATGCCAGGGAGAACGGAAGCGCTCAGATCTCGCATAGTACAAGGAATCTAGTGGTCTCACTCAAATAGAAGGTAGGAAATAAATTCATCTAGTGAACGTAAGGGTTTGAAAGGTAACTAACGCACATGTGTAGAGAAAATGGTGCATCGGCCAGTCTGGCCGGCATTTCGCACTTATAGTGCAAGTAGGGCCAAGTAGAACGGAAACGCTGATTTCTCAAAAAGTAAAGGGAATCTAGCGGTCTCACTCGATCAGAAGGTGGGAAATATATAGATCTAGTGAGCTAATAAGGTTCGGAAGGAATCTAATGCATATGTATATGAAAGTGGTGCATTGGCCAGGTCGGTCAGTATGGGAACTTAGAGTGCAAATGCCTGGGAGAACGGAACCGCTCAGATCTCGCATAATACACGGAATCTAGTGGTTTCACTCAAATAGAAGGTAGGAAATAAATTCATCTAGTGAACGTAAGGGTTCGAAAGGTAACTAACGCACATGTGTAGAGAAAATAGTGCATCGGCCAGTCTGGCCGGCATTTCGCACTCATAGTGCAGGTGGGGCCACGGAGAACGGAAACGCTCGTTCCTCAAAAAGTAGAGAGAATCTAACGGTCTCACTCGATCAGAAGGTGGGAAATATATAAATCTAGTCAGCTAA